AGCATTAGCATTTGCGCTACATAGCTAAACATCTAAAGAACAGTATTTTTGTCTGGTGGCTGTGTTCAACTCTGGTGACTCAGAATGCTGATTAACATCTACTCCGGGTGCATGTTCAGTCCTGCAGGCCACTATGCTTTGAGTAGCAATTAAAAAAAAAAAAAATGTAATCTGACATATGAGCTCTGGATTTTTTTCAGATAAGGCTATAGTACGTTTTCTTAAAATCAGGTCTGAAAGTCTTCAGTTTTGTGGACCTGATGCTGAGCTGTAAGCCTGAAGAGGATGAATCTTTAACAATATGAACAATAATAAAAAAAATATTGACAACCAATCAGAATTTATTTTGGGTTTGTTTTGGATCTTTGGTTTAACATCACGTAAATTCACCCTTTTCTCCCAAATTACATAAAATTGTCAGCATTAATCTAGGACAAGAATAGAGTGAACTTTATAGTTACCTACACAACTTTCCAAATGTATAAATTATCCATTTTCACTTTGAAAACCTCAGTTGATATATAAAGACTTAAGGACCATTCACAACAAGGATGATAAATATCAGACTGATTTTTTTTGTTCCAGCTGATGAACAATAATAAAAAAATATTGACAACCAATCAGAATTTATTTTGGGTTTGTTTTGGATCTTTGGTTTAACATCACGTAAATTCACCCTTTTCTCCCAAATTACATAAAATTGTCAGCATTAATCTAGGACAAGAATAGAGTGAACTTTATAGTTACCTACACAACGTGTTCCTATATGAATAAAACACATCATCAGATTTTAATTGAAAGGATTAATATTTGGCGCTTTCCTTAGAGACCAGTATATTTAACAAACTCTCAAACATCAGTGTGTATTTAACAAATGTCTGTTTTGCTAGTAATTTAAATGTCTGAAACCTAAAATCAATTTCATGTGGTTGAAAACACTGATAGTGCCAGACAAAACGTTTGAATTTAACAGTGAATGTTCTAAATACACCGGTGATGGTCCGCATCGAATGGTTAAAATCAGATCCGAGGGGTGCTCCTCAGTTGAAATCGCGTTCGGTTTAGATTGCTTTCCGCATTTAAAATCGTATTCCGGGGGTGGTGGGGTAGGTCCTTCAGAATTGCAGGGTAGGCTTCAGAACATCATGCAATAAGCCCCTCCTTGACGCCGGGCCTGCTTTTGATTACTTTTCAAAATTTCTAATGAATGTTTTCAACTGTTAACCATTTTCAAACTTACAGTAGTAACAAACAGTAAACTTACAGTAGTACTCAACACTGATTACTGTCAGACTTTCAAAATCCTTCATCACTTGAATTAAGATCATAATTACATTTTTAAAGCAGTCATCATAAAATCAGTCTTTAGCATCTCTTTTTACTTTTATGATTGTTCTGAGGTTAAATATTTTCCATGGATGGCATCCACTCAATCAGATGAATCCAATTAGAAAAGATGCTAAAAAGCGAACAGCCATTATAAGTATGGGTACCCATCTCAGCCCAAACACCTAAAACTGTTCCCATCAGTGTAAACATTGTCTGGGAAGATGTGCATAACTCGCAAAATTAAGAAATGACATAGTAAATCTTGCATAAGAAATGCCTTAAGACGTAATTTGAATCAGAAAAGCCTCAAAAATGAGACAAAGAATGAATATAGTCTTTGCAGGACCCAACAACATCTCAAGTATGCATTGTAGTGGCATGAAGTGCTCATCATTCATGAAATATTAATATGACACGTGCCGTTCAAAAGAATGACTTACATTTTTAAAGCAGTCATCATAAAATCAGTCTTTAGCATCTCTTTTTACTTTTATGATTGTTCTGAGGTTAAATACAGATTTAGAAATAGTAAATATTAATACAAGAAATATTCAGATGTAACCCCCTTTATAATCGTTAACTGTAATTTAACTACACATTTTTTTACGGTTACATTTATTTTGTAATTATATTACGTAACGCAGTTACTCCCCAACACTGCTAATCATTATAGTTATCATTCTTGGAGTGAACGAGCCTTTAGACTCAGAGAACTGAAATTGGTTTCACTTCATTTGCACTTGTTTTGCTGATAATGTAATGATTTTTTCCCCATTAAATTAGAAATAAAGAAAAACAGAAGCATTTTCACTAGTGATCTCAAACTTCTGGTACCACTCATTATATTCGTGATTCTATATGCAAATAGCACTTATAAAATAATAGCCCATGGATCCTTATAAATATTAATAGTACTTAAATTAAAGCATTTGTTACTGGGCAAATTACTTTGCCAAGTTGAGATAAAAGGAGTTTAAAAATTAATAAGACACTCATTATTATGTAATGAACAAAGGTCATTTCCCATCCGTTGTCATGTGGTGCACAATTTCACAATCACATAGGTTTGGGGACCCATTTTTGTCTTGGATAATCATCCAATTTTGAGCAGGGAATAAAATATAAAATTCTGTGAGATGTGTTAATTTTGATTTGCTCATTCTCGAAAATCATATTTATTTGACATTATAAAGGTTGGGTCTATTAATGTAATGGCTATAACAGAGTTTCACTTTGACACAAATTGTTGTGATTTCCCTTAGGATGCAATCAGAGGTTGAGGATAATGCTGATGATGGGGAAACAGGAGGGACTGTGGGCTGTTCCGTTGTGTGAACATCAAAACAGCTCAATTAGGCTTTTCAAAAGCGACCTTTAAACAAACTCAAAGGTTTTTCATGTTCTCCAACAACAAACAGCAATTTGGCAGTGCCAACAATCACATAATTCCCCTTCATAGGGCAGCTGAGGAGGGGGACTGCAAATAGTACATACAGTGTGTGTGTGACAAAGACGAGAGCCGCTCACACACAGGGAAGAGTTCACAGGGAACTCATTAACGCATTCAAGCGTATATCACAGGCGGTGACCTAGAAATGAGGGACAATTCCACAAAAGGAATAACAAGACAATAAAGCCCTTCTTTTCCATGGATGGCATCCACTCAATCAGATGAATCCAATTAGAAAAGATGCTAAAAAGCGAACAGCCATTATAAGTATGGGTACCCATCTCAGCCCAAACACCTAAAACTGTTCCCATCAGTGTAAACATTGTCTGGGAAGATGTGCATAACTCGCAAAATTAA